GGGGGGGGGGGTCAGACCCCCAGACCCCGAGATCTGGGAGGGCTGTTGAGGGGGTTCAGCCCCCCTGAGCCCCTGGGCTGCACTACCCTGGCCCCAGCACCCCAATAGCCCACCTCACACACCCCCCCCAGCAGCTCCTGCTCCTCTTTACCACCATAATTGAGCAATTAGCAATAATTAGTCCAACTGGGTGGAGATAAGCCACAAGGGGAACCGCAGCCAGAGCCCCCCCACACGCTCAGAGTGGGAGCTGAAGTTTTCAGGGAGAGAATGGAGGGGACAGGGCTGAAGAAGCCCCCAAGGGTCCCAGTGAGGCCCTGGGGTGCTCAGCCCCACAGCACAGCCAGAGCTGGAGGGACCCCCATGCTGGGCTGTTGGAGGGAGCCTCACATGCTGCCTCCCCCCAGCAAGGAACAGCCCCCCCAGTGCAGGGGTTTACAGACAAAACAAAGTTTAATTGTTTCAGCCCCGACTCCCACGGGTCCAGCCCAGCCGGACTGCGGCCCCGCGCTGGGAACAACACCCACATTGAGCCCTGGCTGCCAGAGCAGGAATGGCCCCGACCTGTCCTTGTGCATGCTGGGGACAGCAGGGATGAGCTGGGGGGCTCCCGGCTGGGACAGAGCCCCCAGCCCCCTGTGAGCCCCACAGCCTGTGCAAAATGAGGGGTTCCAAACCACAGCAGGACCATGTGGCTTCCCCAAAGCCTGGGGAAGGGTCTGATGCATCCAGGGATCCTGCCCCATCCCAGGGATCACATCAGGCAGCAGCTGTGGATCTGCCGGAGGAATCGTCCATTCGGTCAACCTCAATGAGCTTCATGAAGATCTCCCATGGGGTCCTGGTTTAGTTTGGCAGAGAACTTCTAAATGGTGGTCCCAGGACATGTGGTCACCTGAGGATGAGGGGACATCAGTGGCAGCACATTGGGAACCCCGTTCCCAGCCCCAGGTGGGTTCTGTCCCCCAGACCTGGCTCTCCTTGGCTGAGGACTTGAGGAAAATGGCTCCCAATGACTCCGCCAGCTTCTTCCCTTCATCTGTCCTCACTGCCCAGCTGAGGACACAGCAGAGCAGAGGACAGGCAGGATGTGCCACTGGGACACACACACATGTGGGACCCCTAGAACCCCCCTTCCCCCTGCAGGGCCAGGTCTGCCTTGCTCCCCACCAGCACCACGGGCATGCTGCAGGCACGGGGGGATCAGGGCCCAGACCACCCTTGGCCACCCCTCCCCAGGAGGGACAGCACCTATCGGGTCTTCCCCCAGCTCTTGTACAGCTTTTTGTGGAGGGTTGTGACCGCCTGGAAGCTGTGGGGACAAGGGGACATCCAGGCACTTCTTCCCCCTGTCCTGGGTGATTCATCCCCAGGTCTCAGGAGCATCTCAGCTCCTCAAGGATGTCACCAAGTAAACCAGGACGTGGCCATGGATGTCAGTGATGCAGGATGGTGTTCTCATGCTGGGGAGGAGAGGGGACAAAGGCAGTAACAGGGGTGGCTCACAAGACCCCCCAAACTGCCCCAGCATTACCTGCCCAGCCATGTCCACCAGCTGCAGCTGGAACTCATCCTTGCCCACCACCACCACCTTGGTGTAGGCGGCAAGGGTGGCATCAGGTATGGGGGGCTGCCTGGGACCCCCGAATCCTCCCCTCAAGGCTCAGACCCACTTCCACCTCATTCCAAGGGCACCTCAGCCCCCAGCACCTAAGAATTGGTGGGTCAGGGAGGTTTTACCTGCGTGGAAGGAAATGACACGGCTGGGTGGTCCCAGCACCACCCCGGGGCAGGGGACGGTGCCGGACGGAGAGACACGAACCCCTTCCCGGGGGGGCTCCAGAGGACACGGCTCCGTGGAGGCTGCCCAGGCTGAACACGGCCCTAGACCCCATCCTGGGGTGGGGACCCACCGTGCTGAGCCCCTCCGGTGCACCCGCCGTCCCCGCTAATCCCCACGGGAGCAGCCCCGCTCCCACGCACCCCCGGGCAGAGACCCCCGGAGGGCAGGCCCGCCCTCCGCAGAGAGCATCGCCCCTCTCCGGAGCGCAGGACGCCCCCAGGCCGAGTTCCCCCGCGGTGCCCCACGGCGCGGTAACCGGGGATGGGAACCTTGCGGGATGGGAACCGGAGCGGCGGCGCGGGCGGGCGCGGCAAACGGCGCAATAAACGTGCCGGGGGGCGGGGCCGCCGCCACTACACCGGCGGCCGCACGTGACCACAACACCGCCCTCCTTCTCCCATTGGCTGGGCCGGGAGAGGGGGCGGGGCTAAGAGGCTGCGCAGGCGCCTTGGCCGGAGGGGATCTCCATTCATGAAAACGGAGGGAAGGGCCGGGGCCACGTGGTGGTCGCGCCTCTGAGCGTGAATGGAGGGGGGAGGAGTGTCCTGGTCCTGACCCCCTCCCCCACCGTGCTTCCCCAACCTGTCCCGGCCCGGAGACACCCGAGACACCCGAGAACACTCACACCCACCTCCTGCTCCCCGAGACCCCCACCGCAGCCTCCCCCAGCACTAGGACCCTCAGGCCCCCAGGGATATTTTAGGATGCCTGACCCCTGTCCCAGGGATCCCCGGCCTGTCGCGATGTCCAACTCAAGCCTCAGGGACCCCCAGCCTGGAAATACCCCAATTTTCTACATTGCCCAACTCCAGCCCCAGGGACCCACACCCCTCTGGGGATACCCCAGCCCCTGAGGGCTGCATTGCTATTCCCCTCACCAGAAGCTGAGTCATCAGCTTGTCTCCATCTGGACAAAATTTGGAGGGAAAAGTGAGATTTTTGCCCATCTGAGGTCCAGAAAGGCCAGGGAGAACTGGGCTCCCTACTCCAGCACCAGGAACCCTCAGAGGCCCAGGATGTCAAACCCCCAAGGATACCCCAGACCCCTGCAATGCCCTACCCAGTTCCAAGACACTCCAGGTGGATACTCCAGCTGCTCGGGATGCCTGACCCCCACCCCAGTGACCCCCAGACCCTGGGATACTCCAGCTCCTCAAGATGCCCAGCCCCAGGGACCCCCAGCCCCCTCAGGTGGTCAAATCCAGCCCCTCCAGACTCCTCAGCCCAGCCTCACACATCCCCCACTCCCAGCCACAGTTTCAATAGGGCCATATTTCTTTATTTTCCCAAACAATTAAATAGTAGTATTTCTTTTGGTTTTTTAAACAGAAGTGGTTAAAAGCAGGCTGCCCTCTGCCCCGTGGGGTGAGCCTCACTGCTGGGACAGGCAGGCATGGGGGACATTTATATTACCATTTATAAATAGAAAAATAAAACTCTCAAGCAGGGTGGGTTAGCGGTTAGCGTAGTTAGAGTTGGACCTGGCACAGGGTGCCCGTGCCCACAGCAGACACCCGGTGCCCACGGCAGACAGCCGGTGCCCACAGCAGACACCCGGTGCCCACGGCAGACACCCGGTGCCCATGGCAGACACCCCATCCAGCCACCCTGTGGTGCAGGGACAGGGACACTGTGGGTGACAGGGACAGACCCAGAGCAGGGGGAAGGGCAGGAATTGCTGCCAAGTGCTTGGTGTTGGGGTGTTTTTGGCATCCTCCCAGCTGGATTTGGCCCCAGGACAGGGTCTGGTGGTGCCGGGATGTGGCTTGACAGGCGCCAACCCCGGCCCCAGTGCAGTGGTTAATAAAGCAATAAATACCAGGAGAGCATTTGGGGGTCCAGGTGTGAGGACCCAGCTGCGGGGGGCTCTGGGACACAGGACAGGGCTGAGCCAGGTCCCTGGGCCACCCCGTGACACTCCATCACCCCAGGGCAGTGCTGAGCCCCAACCACCCCCCAGCACGGGGGTGCCCCTGTCCCTCCTCCCCGGGTCCGAGGGGTGCCCAGGGCTGGATCCCCCCGTTTCCAGTGTGCGGCATCTCCTGCCATGTGCTAACTGGGGGGGCAGGAACCCCTACACCTGCAGGGTCTCCTGGCCCAGCACACCCCCAGCCAGGCGGTAGAGCAGGCGGGAGTACCAGTGCATGCCCACCTCTGGCACCGTCCCATTGCCCAGCTCGGGGTGGGCTGGCAGCAGCGAGAGGAGCCCGTGGAACAGGCGGAGGGGGGCAAAAGCCCGGTGTGCCCAGCGGTGGCTCTCCAGGACGGCATAGCAGGATGCCAGCACCCCATTGACCAGCAAGGTGCCGTGGGAGGTGAGAGGGGCAAAGACCCCCACGCCGTCCTCCCGAGAGACCCTCAGCACCCTC